ACAGCCTTTTTATTTATTCCTGTTTTACATGTACACCTCAATCATATCCCCTCTAATTCTATACCTTTCTAGAGCATGTATATTCAGTGTCCTCAATCTATGCTTGTAGAATAGACAGTGCCCTCGGTCTATGCTCATAGTATATGGTGCCCTCAGTCTATGCTTGTAAGACAGACAGTACTCTTGGTCTATGCTCATAGTATATGGTGCCCTCAGCCTATGCTTGTAAGACAGACAGTGCCCTCGGTCTATGCTCATAGGATATGGTGCCCTCAGCCTATGCTTGTAAGACAGACAGTGCCCTCAGCCTATGCTCACAGGATAGATAGTGCCTTCAGTTTATCCTCAAAGGAAAGATTTCTGATACATGGGATCAACTTAGTCATCCTCGATAAGTTTCATTTTTTTTTTTTGCCAGCTCTGGCAACCATGCTCAGAGCTTACACAAGGCATATGATCAGAAAAGCCAGTGACAGGATTTCAGTCTCAGTCCAACAGCCATTATGTCAGTGTACATGATGTCCAGCAAGGAAATCCTGTAACACAGTGTTCAAACCTTAATTAAGGTTAGTAGTGTTAAGAGTACTGAAGGCTCATCTATGTAATCTATGAATCTTTGGACTTGCATCAAATTCATAGCAGAGTGAATTTGATGCAAGAAAGAACTCGAGAACATTGAAAACGTGATCGTGTGACTTAACCTGCATGTGGTCTTGCCTGACTTCCCAAGAACAGCCACTGGCTTGTCATTCTCTTAGCCTTATCTAGTGTAAATTACAATCCCTAATATTGTTCAAGGAAGGTAGGGACTTAGCATATGCAGACTGGTATTTGGGTCAGATTATCAGGAGTCAATAACAGAGTTACTCTGTGTCAACCACGTGGGGTGAAGAGGCTGCGAGGTCTTGCCTTCACTCCACCATGGAGCCTGGATAATGGACCAGGCACCAGGGGTTTACCTGGAGAGGATATTGAGGGTCAACACACCTGTGGCTCGGTCTTAGACCAGGCCTCATGGTGGATCAGGGTCTGATCAACTGGGCTGTTACTGCCGGCCGCATGCAGACTGACATACGAACTACATCCCGGTTGGTCAGGTACTGACTTCAGGTGCCTGTCCAGTGTCTTCAAGAAGACAGCCAAGGGTCTATTGGTAATCCCCCTTATGTATACTGGGAGGCCGTTGAACAGTCTTGGGCCCCAGATACTTACTGTGTGGTCTCTCAAAGTACTTGTGGCACCCCCTGCTTTTCATCAGGGAAATGTTGCATCTCCTGCCGAGTCTTTCGCTTTCATAGGGAGTGATTTTCGTGTGTAGGTTTGGTACTAATCCCTCCAGGACCTTCCAAGTGTATATTATCATGTATCTCTCTCGCCTGCATTCCAGGAAATACAGATCAAGAACCTTCAACCATTCCCTGTAATTTAGGTGCCTTATCGTACTTATGTGTGCTGTCAAAGTTCTTTGTATGCTCTCCAGGTCTGCAATGTCGCCAGCCATGAAGGGGGCTGTTAGTGTACAGTAGTATTCCAGCCTAGAAAGAACAAGCGATTTGAAGAGTGTCACCATGGGCTTGGTGTCCCTAGTTTTGAAGGTTCTCATTATCCATCCTATCACTTTCCTAGCAGATAAGGTAGATACATTGTTGTGGTTTTTGCAGGCTAGATCCTCTGACATTATAACTCCCAGGTCTTTCACATTTCTTTTTCGCTCTATTGTATGGTTTGAATTTATCGCATAAACTAATACATTTTTAATTTCCTCAAGGTTTCCATATCTGAGCAGTTGAAATTTCTCCTCACTGAACTTCATATTGTTTTGGGAGGCCCATTCGAAGATTTGGTTGATGTCCGCTTGGAGTCTTCCAGTGTCTTCGATGGAGGTCACTGCCATGGCAATCCAGGTGTCATCCTCAACGGAAGACATGGAGCTATGGATGACATCTCTATGTCAGAAATGAGGATGAGGAATAGAATGGGAGCGAGTACTGTGCCTTGTGGAACAGAGCTTTTCACCGTGGCTGCCTAGGATTTTACTCTGTTTACCATTACTCTTTGTGTTCTATTTGTCAGGAATTTATAGATCCATCTACCAACGTTTCCTGTTATTCCTTTATCATGCATTTTGTGTGCTATTACATCAAGGTCATACTTGTCGAAAGCTTTTGCAAAGTCTGTGTACACAGCTGTATTTTGTTTATCCTAAACAGCATCCAGCACCTTGTCATAGTGGTCCAGGAGCTGGGACAGGCAGGAGTGATCTGCTTTAATCTCGCGTTGCCTTGGGTTTTGTAACTGATGGGTATCTAGGTGGTTGCCGATCTTCCTTCTTAGAACCTCAAAGATTTTTATGATATGGGATGTTAGTGCTATCGGTCCGTAGTTCTTTGCAGTTGCTTTATGTCCACCTTTGTGGAGTGGGGCTATGTCTGTTGTTTTTAGTGTGTGTGGTGGGATGACCCATGTCCATGCTCCCTCTTCATAGAATGCTGAAGGCATGTGACAGGGGCTTCTTGCAATTCTTGATGAACATGGAGTTCCATGAGCCATGAGTCTGGGCCTGAAACAGAGTGCATGGGCATGTCATTTATTGCCTTTTCAAAGTCTTGTGGAGTTAGGATAATTTCCGAGATGACCAAAATTTGGGTTTCGTTCATAAAGAATTCATTTGGATTGTCAACCCTTAGTTTGGGCAGCGGCTCGCTGAACACTGAGTCATATTGGCACTTTAATATCTCACTCATTTCTTGGCTGTCATCTGTGTATGTCCCATCCCGCCTAAGCAGGGCCCCAATACCGGATGTTGTTTTTTTTTAGATTTGGCATAAGAGAAGTATTTTGGGTTTTATCAATTTCCTTTATGGCTATTAGTTCTTCCTGAGATTCTTGTCTCCTGTAAGATTCCTTCAACTTAGGTTTGATATTTGCAATTTCACTGACCAGTGCCTCCCTTTATATTTCAGATATATTGGCCCCTCTCAGCAGTTCTGTGACTCTTCACCTTCGTCTGTATAGGGAGCATCTCTGTCTTTCTAGTTTGCATCTTCTCTTTCTTTTTCTTAATGGAATGTGTCTTGAGCACATCTCAAGAACCAAAGAGTTCATTTTTTCTAGGCAAATGTTAGGATATGGTTGACTTGATCCCACTGTTTGTTTTTGTTATTGAAATTGAATTTTGTGAAGAGTGGGAGAGGCTGGGTTTGATTGGTGTCATGGGGTACGGGAGTTATTTCTTGGGTAGCTTTAGGTAGAGGTTGTTTTGATAAGGACCTGCCTCGTATGGGCCAGTAGGCCTTCTGCAATGTTCCTACATTCTTATGTTCTTAAGAGACCTTCATGACTGATCACATTTTGCTGGTCAGGAGCCCTGTACATACATGTCCGTACCTCTATTATGTTGTGATCTGAGTGTACTGTCTTTGATACGGTTATATTATGTATCAGATAGTCATTGTTAGTGAAGATGAGGTCCAGCATATTTTCAAGTCTTGTAGGCTCTAATATTTGCTGCTTTAAGGAGAGTTTGGTGCAGAGATTTAATAGTTTGTGTGTGTGTGAATTTTCTTCTGAGCTGCCTCTTGGGGTGATCTGTGCTAAAACATTGCTTGCTATACTCCTCCATTTTAGGTGTCTCAAGTTGAAATCTCCTAGTAGTAAGATGCTTGGGGCAGGAGTTGGGAGATTTGCCAGACATTGGTCAATTTTCACAAGCTGCTCTTGGAACTGCTGGGAAGTTGTGTTTGGAGGTTTGTATACCGCCACAATAACATGGTTTTGGTTTTCAATCTTTGCTGCCAAAACTTCAACTACACCATTTGAGGTGTTTAGTAGTTCTGAGTAAATGAGCGACTCTGTGACATACAGGCCAACTCCCCCTTGCTGCCTGTTTAGTCTGTCACATCTGAATAGGTTATAACCTGGGATCTATATTTTGTTGTTATAATGATTCTTTATGTGGGTCTCTGTGAGCAGTCCCTTGATGTAAGGAATTTTGTTGTTCTTTGATGGCTTTAGGTCCTGTATGTTTGCAAAGACAAATGTCGTTATATTGGTGGAATTTAGGGGGTTTTATTTGCTGGCTCTAATATCAGATTGATAAGTATTCAATATGCTTAGCAGTAATAACAAACCTGTCAAAGGAAAGAGTTCACATATTTTAGACCTGGGACAGCTAGGGTCTAAGTGAATTTGACTGACAAGTGATTGATTAATGTCAGTCAGAGAAGAAACCCTCTAATTACTGACAACAAATATTTCAAAATGGTTACATCTTACCTAAAAGGTTACACTATACCTCAGCACTAGTAGTAACTACTGTACCATTACTAGTAACTATTGTACCATTACTAGAAGTAACTATTGTAGCATCACTAATAGTAACTACTGTACCACTGCAAATAATTACTGTACCATCACTAGCACTAACTACTGTACCATTACTAGTAGTAACTACTGCACCAACACTAGTAGTAACTACTGTACCATCACCAGTAGTAACTACTGTAGCATCACTAGTATTAACTACTGTAGCATCACTAGTAACTACTGTAGCATCACTTGTAGTAACTACTGTAGCATCACTAGTAGTAACTACTGTAGGATCACCAGTAGTAACTACTGTAGCATCACTAGTATTAACTACTGTAGCATCACTATTAGTAACTACTGTAGCATCACCAGTAGTAACTACTGTAGCATCACTAGTAACTACTGTAGCATCACCAGTAGTAACTACTGTAGCATCACCAGTAGTAACTACTGTAGCATCACTAGTATTAACTACTGTACCATGACTAGTAGTAACTACTGTAGCATCACTAGTAGTAACTACTGTACCATCACCAGTAGTAACTACTGTAGCATCACTAGTAACTACTGTAGCATCACTATTAGTAACTACTGTAGCATCACCAGTAGTAACTACTGTACCATCACCAGTAGTAACTACTGTACCATCACTAGCAGTAATTACTGTAGCATTACTAATGAACAAGTGTTACCTTTGCTTCAGAGTTCTTATTGACAGGTTTACTGGGTGACTCCTCTACCTCCTGCTTCACTGGGCATGGTATGTCTGTCCTCTTAGAAGCTCTGAAGAGAGTCGTTCGCGGTATGTTGAAAGCATGGGCAGCTGCTGTGATGCCCAGGTCTCCCTTGCGGACCAAGTGAGCAGCAGCCTGGAAACAAGGTAGTTACTGTAAGAAAACTAATTTTATCTTATTATAGAGGGTGCTAATCCTTTGAGGGTCGACAGGCCCTCTCCGAGACTTGTTCTCAGGGTCGGCAAAATTTAAAAAAAAAAAAAAATATTTTTTCCTATGAAAAGATAGAGAATCTTTTCCTGATTATAATGACACCAAAAGTATGAAATTTGCTGGAAAACTTACGGAATTATGCTCTCGCGAAGTTAGCGGTCTCGACGATGTTTATGCATCGGCAATTTTGCCCGCTTTGAGCCTTATTTTCGGCCAATTCCAATGTACTAGTAGACAAAAATCATAACTATTTCACTAGAACTCCATTTTTTCTATCGAATGAGTACAAGAAACCACCCATTTACCAATTTCAACTATCCAATAAAGTGGTCATAATTTAGTAATTTTGCCAATTTCACACAAATTTCAAAAGATGCCAATTTCCGAACAGGGTCCAGAATAAACAAGAAAGACATTCCTGGCACTAAAATAACAAGTTCTCTGTTTGTTAGTCACATCCCCAGGCCCCTCTTATATTTCTTTGGCTTTCCACTTTGAATTTTTATTCTTACAAAAAATAGAAGATTTACTGTTATGCAGACTACTGCATTAGTGTAGAAATGGTATAAATAATATCAGCGTACTTGTGAAAGAATATTAGACTCACCAGTTGACGTGTATTGGACGCTTGGCATGATTTGTTTACTTTTGAACTTTGATAAAAATCGAACATTTCTGCTACTTCGTGCTCAATTTCAAGGTACTTTTCATTATAAAACCAGTCAAAATCATCTCAATTTCTGTAATATGTCTTCCATTCTATAAAATGAGACCAAGAAAACTAGAATACAACAATAAATACCATACGAAAATACAGTGCAAAATCGCTGTTTAATTCCAAGAACACGGTCAAAGTTTTTTTTTTCTCATTATGCACTGTGTGCTGCAGGATTTTTTTATACTGTGCACACTGACCACATAGGCCCATTCTTTCATATGTAGGCCTACCAGTTTTCTCTCACTAGATTTGCGGGTGCTAGAATTTAGGCGTACTAGTACATCAAAAACCCTGGGTCGTAAGCCGAACTAATATGTCCGAAACCCTCAAAGGGTTAAGAGGGTTATACGAGTAATGTTGAATGTTTGGAGAGCTGCTGCCCCTGCATGCTAGCAACACACATACTCTATGAAAACAAATTTCCACTCTGGATAATTCTTCAATATCTCGTGACTAGGACAGAAGCCTTGTGACACTTTGGTCCACACTGGACTACTGTCGAGTCTCAACTGGTCCAGGACTAGGACAGGAGCCTTGTGACACTTTGGTCCACACTGGACTACTGTCGAGTCTCAACTGGTCCAGGACTAGGACAGGAGCCTTGTGACACTTTGGTCCACACTGGACTACTGTCGAGTCTCAACTGGTCCAGGACTAATCAAACGTCCCCTTCCAAATGCATATGAGTAATTCCAGCCACAGTATAAATCTCCATCAGTCAATTCCCAAAGAACTAGGATGAACAAAATATAAAATGCAGTTTACACAAAAAATCTGACATGAAATAATCATAATGTTCAAGTTTCTATTTTATAGACATGTGATAAAAAAGTGAGGTAATGCATCAAGTCAGTGTCAAAAATGGTAGGCCTACTGGCTGCTCTGACATGTGTTGACAATGTTGATTAATAGATCTGTGAATCATAACTGAGAAAAATAAAGATGCCCAGGTGTTCTAACTGCTGTACCATTGTTAGTTATAACTACTCTGTACTATGACTAGTAGTAACTACTGTACTATGACTAGTAATAACTACTGTACCATCACTAGTAGTAATTACTGTACCATCACTAGTAGTAATTACTGTACCATCACTAGTAGTAACTACTGTACCATCACTAGTATGTAGTATCTACTGTATCATCACTAGTAGTAACTACTGTATCATCACTAGTAGTAACTACTGTACCATCACTAGTAGTAACTACTGTACCATCACTAGTAGTAACTACTGTACCATCACTAGTAGTAACTACTGCACCATCGCTAGTAGTAACTACTGTACCATACCTGGAAAGAGTTTTTGGGGGTCAATGCCTCTGCCACCCGATCTGTGACCAGGACTTGCGGTGGATCAAGACCTGATGAACCAGGCTGTTACTGTTCGGTGCACGTAAATTGACATACAAACCACAGCCTGGCTGATCGGGTACTGAATTTAGGTGCCTATCCAGCACTTGAAGACAGCCAGTGGTCTATTGGTAATCCACCTTATGTATGCTGGGAAGCAATTGAACAGTCTTGGGCTCCTGACACTGACTGTCTTGTCTCTCAGTGTACTCATGGCAACCCTGCTTTTCATTGGGAGGATGTTGCATCATCTGCGGAGTCTTTTGCTTTCGTAGGCAGTGATTTTCGTGTGCAAGTTTGGTACTAATCCCTTTAGGATTTTCCAAGTGTTTCTCTCCTGCATTCCAGAGAGTACAGGTCGAGGAACTTCAAAAGTTCCCAGTAATTTAGGTGTTTTATTACACTTGTGTGTGGTGAAGGTTCTCTGTACATTTTCTAGGTCAGCAATTTCTCCTACCTTCAAAGGTGCTGTTAGTGTCAGCAATATTCCAACTTCAGATAAAACAAACGACCTGAAGAGTATCATCACTGGCTTGGTACCCCTAATTTTGAAGGTTCTCATTATCTATCCTGTAATTTTTCTAGCAGATGTAACTGATACAATGTTGTGATCTTTGAAGTGGTTGGAATTTGTTTTATACTCAGATATAGTTTTAATTTCCTCACATTTTCCATGTCTGAGTAAATGAAATTTCTCATCATTGAACTTCATATTGTTTTCTGTGGCCCATGTAAAGGTTTAGCTGATGTCCACCTGGAGTCTTGCAGTGTCATGCAAATTCAGGTGACATCTGCAAAAGAAAACATGGTGGTGTGGCTTACATCCCTGTCTATGTCAGATACGAGGATGAGGAACAGGATGGGAGTGAGTATTGTGCCTTTTGGAACAGAGCTTTTGACAGTAGCTGCCTCAGACTTTACTCTATTTACTACTTTTCTTGGTGTTCTCTTTGTTAGGAAATTGTAGATCCAGCTACCAAATTTTCCTGTTATTCCTTTATCATGCACTTTAAGCACTATTACACTATGGTCATACTTGTCAAAGGCTTTTGCAAAGTCTGTGTATACTACATCTGCATTTTGTTTGTCTTCTAGAGCATCCAAGACCTTGTCATAGCGATCCAGTAGATGGGACGGGCAGGAGTGACCTGCTGTAAACCAATGTTGCCCTGGGTTGTGTATTTATTTTTTTTTTATTATCACACTGGCCGATTCCCACCAAGGCAGGGTGGCCCAAAAAAGAAAAACTTTCACCATCATTCACTCCTTCACTGTCTTGCCAGAAGGGTGCTTTACACTACAGTTTTTAAACTGCAACATTAACAGCCCTCCTTCAGAGTGCAGGCACTGTACTTCCCATCTCCAGGACTCAAGTCCGGCCTGCCGGTTTCCCTGAACCCCTTCATAAATGTTACTTTGCTCACACAACAACAGCACGTCAAGCATTAAAAACCATTTGTCTCCATTCACTCCTAACAAACACGCTCACGCATGCCTGCTGGAAGTCCAAGCCCCTCACACACAAAACCTCCTTTACCCCCTCCCTCCAACCTTTCCTAGGCCAACCCCTACCCCCGCCTTCCTTCCACTACAGACTGATACACTCTTGAAGTCATTCTGTTTTGCTCCATTCTCTCTACATGTCCGAACCATCTCAACAACCCTTCCTCAGCCCTCTGGACAACAGTTTTGGTAATCCCGCACCTCCTCCTAACTTCCAAACTACGAATTCTCTGCATTATATTCACACCAACATTGCCCTCAGACATGACATCTCCACTGCCTCCAGCCTTCTCCTCGCTGCACATTCATCACCCATGCTTCACACCCATATAAGAGCGTTGGTAAAACTATACTCTCATACATTCCCCTCTTTGCCTCCAAGGACAAAGTTCTTTGTCTACACAGACTCCTAAGTGCACCACTCACCCTTTTCCCCTCATCAATTCTATGATTCACCTCATCTTTCATAGACCCATCCGCTGACACCTCCACTCCCAAATATCTGAATACATTCACCTCCTCCATACTCTCTCCCTCCAATCTGATATCCAATCTTTCATCACCTAATCGTTTTGTTATCCTCATAACCTTACTCTTTCTTGTATTCACTTTTAATTTTCTTCTTTTGCATACCCTACCAAATTCATCCACCATTCTCTGCAACTTCTCTTCAGAATCTCCAAAGAGCACAGTGTCATCAGTAAAGAGCAACTGTGACAACTCCCACTTTATGTGTGATTCTTTATCTTTTAACTCCACGCCTCTTGCCAAGACCCTCGCATTTACTTCTCTTACAACCCCATCTATAACAGCAGCCAACATGGTTTCAGGGACGGGAAATCCTGTGTCACAAACCTACTGGAGTTCTATGACATGGTGACAGCAGTAAGACAAGAGAGAGAGTGGTGGGTGGATTGCATATTCTTGGACAGCAAGAAGGTGTTTGACACAAGAGATTGGTGCAAAAACTGGAGGACGAAGCAGGGATAACAGGGAAGGCACTACAATGGATCAGGGAATACTTGTCAGGAAGACAGCAGCGAGTCATGGTACGTGGCGAGGTGTCAGAGTGGGCAACTGTGACCAGCGGGGTCCCACAGGGGTCAGTCCTAGGACCAGTGCTGTTTCTGGTATTTGTGAACGACATGACGGAAGGAATAGACTCTGAGGTGTCCCTGTTTGCAGATGACGTGAAGTTGATGAGAAGAATTCACTCGATCGAAGACCAGGCAGAACTACAAAGGGATCTGGACAGGCTGCAGACCTGGTCCAGCAATTGGCTCCTGGAGTTCAATCCCACCAAGTGCAAAGTCATGAAGATTGGGGAAGGGCAAAGAAGACTGCAGACGG